GCTTTAATTGGAACAGTTCAAATGTTTGTGTTGTTTAAGCTTCATTAAGTTTATACAACACTCATGTTTCATGTCAGTTCAGTTCCTGCATCGATGAAAAGCAAGAAGATGAAGTGTACTGATGAGATTCTGGTCCCGCTGAAACTATATCCTAAAAATACTAGTTTTATCTCTGGGAAATAATCAGATTATGAAGTGTCTGAGAGGCTGTCCCAACTAACAAAAAAACAGAACAAAAACGTCTGGTTTAAATCCTCATGATTGTAGGAAGTTTTTCTCTTTCARTCTCTGACACCTTCTCCTCTGGTTCCTTGTTCTCCCTTCAGACACAAAAACAGGAACTGATGCTCAGTTATTACCCAGGTGGGGCCTGAGTGTTTCCATATGAGTAACCTGGATTAAGAAGCCTATCAGATTAACATGTGTGTGCTTTCTCTCCCCTTCACAGTCTTGTAGAAAAAAAGGTTTAATCTTTGGAGATTACTGRGGCTTTAGAGGAAGAGGACAATTTAGGTATTATTAATGGTGTGCCACTGACATTACACGTCTTCACCTGAACGTTTTACTTCTGGCTGCAGGTCTCTGCTGTAACGTGAGATGACTGTACTTTCCTGTGTTTCACAGCCTGCATGTCWGTACATTTGGTGGACTGAACCAGCAGACTGGTTTCCATCTCAGTACCAAGCAGTAAGCAGAGGAAACAGCAAGTTCTGCCCGTCTGGAGCTCTGCAGTTTCCACTTATGCCTCCATGTTAACAACAAGAGACACTTGAAGCAGCTCAGTTTCTCCGTTAAACAAGAGGATGGCACGTAGATGAAGAGACTAAAAGCTATTTAAGATTTTCGCCAGTTATTTGAATATTTTATTAATGTTAGGACATGGTGACTGTTGTGTATTGGATGAGAAACAGAAATTATGTTTTGAAATAATTCAAACTGGACAAACTTCACTGACGTGGAACCAAACAGAATCAAACAAGCATGAGATCAGTTGACGGCTTCCTGCCAGTATTGTACAGACATGGTGATCTTTGGCATTGGCCGTCTTCATGGATCGTGTTGATAACAAATAGCGTGTGGTATGAGAACAAGAAAGCTTCTTGAGAATGCTAAAAAGGCAGAGAAAACATGATTTGTCAAACACTAAGCATACCAGCATCRATTCAAGTCAGTTTACAGTCATCTCAGAAGGAGGTTTCCCAGATTCACCACAATACATTCATGTTCCAACCATCACAACGACTCATGCAGGTCTCGGAGAGTATTGCAGAGTTATTATCCAGTGTAAAGGGGCCAAAGGCACAAAGTTTGAAAGGACTTTGAATTTTTGTCAGAAAAACAGACACAGCTTCCTTTGAGCTACCTTTAAAAGATTAGCTGGTAAAAAACAGAAGCGGTTAGAAGAAGACTGAATTAAACCAAAGAGTTCCACCCTTGTTTGGTTAAATTTCATAGAAACATAAAACTACCTTCATTAGTATCAATCTGTGCCCCAAACTGTTCAGTGTTTTCTTTGGGACCTGGAAGAATAAGAGTCTGAACATTAACAGGCCCTGCCCATCATTATCCATGTTTAGGATGCTTTATTCTTTGGCCATCCATAACAATCTGGGCATCAAATGAACTCCGTCTGGTTTCCTTAAGTCCCAAAATCAGGATTTTACTTCGGTTTTCTGAGGTATGCCTCAATTCATGCACTTTCATGTGTTCAAACTGTTGGGTTACAACTCTGAGTCCTGAACAAAACTTTCTAAYACAGAAGAGCTTGTTTTTTTTCCCCAATGATCATTGAAAATTTGTTTTTTTTTTGTTTGTTTCTTTGTTTGTTTTTTACTTAATTGTCTGTTTGACATGCTATAGTAATTCTGGCTGAAGAAAAAGAGACCAAAAGAGAAATATGTAGAAAGAGCATAAAAAAGGATGCTGTGGATAGTTTATTAAATCAATATACAAAAGGATTATTACTGTTGTTGTATTATTGTTTTTGTCAAGGGGACATTGAGCCCCGCCTGCATTCACTACATACACATGACACGACACCTAAGAACCACAGCATCCAAACCAATAAGTCAGGTGATGGGGCACACCCTCTATGAACAATATAACTAATCAAGCCTATTGTTAAGCGATGGCCCTCTTTTGCATGTGACTGGCCTCTTTGTCCACCATGTGGAGGCAGTGCTTTTAAGGCTGAGTTCACCTGAAACTCATCAGACTGAAGAAGTCTCTTGGACGAGAGACGAAACGTTTCACTAAAGAAGAACCCATCCAGAAGACCTACTTATTTTTTTTTCTTTTTGAATAATTAGAAAAGTCCATTTGCCTGCAAACATTTGTAGGGAGTAGGTTGGAACTAAGGTAGTTGAACTGACAACTTGATTGGGACTGGATAAGACTAAAGCAGTCACAAGCAAAAACCCAGCTCGACTGAATGGCCCCTGATGTAAATTTCTTCACCTGTATTAATTGCCCACATGCAGGCCTGGCTTTTAGGATGGCACAAACTGCATGCTTACTTTGTATAAATCTTTCATTGCACATGTGACAATAAAAATGTATTTAAAGCAATACTGTAAAGCCAAACTAGGACTGCAAGAAGCATAACTCAAATTGTTGTGTGTGCAGAGCAACTAATAAACTGCTACACTCATAATGATCCACATAATGTTTTTTGTACATACTGTAGGTCACATGATTGGAATATCTGAGAGAAATATAATCTCTATTGTTTGTTAGAAGACTGAGGAAAAGACCAACAGAGCACTAAAAGAAGATGGATTCAAACATTAAAACCAACATTTATGAGTGTTTCAGCAGCACTGGTTTAACATTCTGCAGGCCCCTCCTGGAGAGATGTCAGCTTTATGGGCCTTTTAGAAGTAAAGTTAGTTCATAATGTTGGCTTTTTACTAGGATGATTGCTCAGTAACATTTTTATCAGTTTAAACAAAGTCTCATATATGATTATGGAGCAAACATCATTTAGCTATGTTTGCAAAAGTGGCTTGTTAAAAGCAGGGTGGGACTTCCACACACCTCATACATAATATATATTTTCTAATTATTATTTTTTTATTTGTTACATCTGAATGGTAAACCTCCCAATATAAATGATACATTTGTAAGATATTTAAGGGTGAGGAGGGGTGTATTACRCAAAATCAACTTTTTTGAGCTTTAAATCATGTTATAATATCATTCCCTCATTAAAAACAGAGTACCCGGAGTGTTGCTTAGACTCACCTTTTTGGATTAAAAAATGTGGAATGTAAACATAAATGTGAAATGTATTTTTTGGATGCCATGGAAACTACCCTCTCAAAACACTCTTGCGAAAGTTTATAAATGGCGTGAAGTATTGTGAAGATGTGCTGAAGTGGGAGTGTCAAACGGTAGGAAATGCTTAAAGAGACAGAAGCCAATTTCAAGTTTTTTAGATAGGCTATGATGCAAAGTCAAATTTATTTTTGATGAATACAACATTTTCACAACAAGTGAATGCAACATGATTACTTAGAATTGTAGGCTACTATGTGCCTGGAACATGCACAGCTCCCTTTAATAAGGTACACAGTTTATCTGGGATAATACAGTGCTGCTCTACAATAGCAGATTTATGAATTCAGTTTTTAAAGTGTGCATAACTATTATTTTATTTGATTTAATTAAACRTGTCGTGATGTTTGCACACTTTTGTTCAATGCAACAAAGATTAGTGTATTGAGTTATCTTTTTGTGAAGATCACATTTGGTGAAAGGACATATACATTTGATTGGTTTCAGATTCATGTATTTCACAGGTAATATTTAGCTAAGAAATTATGTTATATTAATGCAGATACATTAGTAATATTCACCGTTTGTATATAGCTTTTTTAAACCACTGCAGAAAACCAAGGTATTACTAAAAATAAATTGTGTTTTCTCACCTTTACAAGTGAGCGCAGACCTCTCTCCCCAAACATGTCCTGAAGGAAAGTGTTGTCTTCAGGACGGCTAACGTGAGGCTGCAGCTGGGATGGCAGGGCTGCCAGCAGCTCGTACAGGCCTGCAGAAAGCACAGAAGAGGAAAAACATGAGGGTCATCATCAAAGCAGCACTTTACATGCATGCAAAGTCAGAGATTCACTGACACAGATGTGTGAACCTCTGTACTTTGATTATACAGGACAAACGTTGTTAAAATGTGCTCAGCGTGTAGCTGTAAACAGACAGGCCTCCCACAGTGGATGCAGATGTAAACATATACAGTAGTACTTGTGTTAGTGCGGTGCAGACTGTCAGAGCAACACGTGCTAAAATCCTTTTGGGGATTACAAACCCCTCGTATACAAGGAATGAATATTTCAAATTCACTTTAAACAAAACCAGACCGAGGAGCTGAGGGCTTCAAGATTAAGCAGAGGGGAGGTGAAACACTCAGAGGGAGGAAGGCCAAAACCAGCGAGACAGTGGAGCTTCTTCCAAACACAACAAAGTCCTGGAGTGCAGCTGATAGACAGCAGTAGCAGATACTCGTTTGCTGCTCAGCTCCAGTCTTTARTGWGGCTGTGATCCACTGATCCAGGAGGTGCATCAAAGGTCAGGCACTCAGTCTGAGCTCAAAGCATCAAAGAACCATTTATTACATGAGATAAGTCATACCAGAATCAAACTGCTCGAACACAAGCACACAGGGATTGAAACCTTTTGAATGAACACTGGRTATATCAAAATCTCTAAGCACATTTATAACAGGTTTATATGAAAACAAACAGGAGCAGCTGGTTTCTCTCTGTTAGTCTCTTTAATCAAAAGGAAAAAGTTACATAGAGACAAGAGAGAGTAGAGAATAAAACCACAGATACAACTGAAACAAGTCAGAGATCAAACTCATTAAGACAGTGGTTGATGTTGTTGGTTGGAGAGTTACAGTCTGTTCAGGTGTAGTTTGGTTGGACAACTTGACTCGACTCGAGTCAGGTTCAGGTGCTGCTCCTGGACAGACAAATGGATCGCCTGTCATCTGCTTTTCTGTACCTTCTGCTTTCCCTCTGGAAGTGATTTAGGTTGAGTTTCTTGGATCTTTGAGTAAACATGCAGAATGTATCAAAATGATAACTGCACTCCGCTCCTGGTCCCAGCTCAGAGTCGGCATTTCCTTTACGTACCTCATACCTTACTGTTCAACAAGCTCTGTGATGAGCAAATACTGTACATTACAGAAAAAGAATAGCAAGGACACTGGACAAAAGCTTTTTGCTGCTTTGTGCTTAACAACAGATGTGCACCAGTTTTAATACTTTAAATCCCCATGGGTTTACTCAACAGTGGGATATCTTGTCTGTGATCTAATGCCTCGTTCTAAGATTGTCATCATGAAAGAGTCTGCATTGTACTGAGCCCAAACTGTCCGATGGCAGGGATCTCACTTAGTCCTTTACAACTTGGAACTCTCAGCAGATTTTACACAGTATATTAAACAAAAAAAAGATTTAAAGAGACATTGTATGATTTGATGAGGAGTGTAGTAAAGAGAGTGGGGGTGAAGAAAGATGTGGTCATCTTATTACCAGTGGCAGGCAGAGATGTTGATAAGAGGAAATGGAAGGGAACAAAAATAGAGACAGCGAGCATAAAAGTCCAGTCTACCTTTCCACACTCACAGGGATTTAAAAATGTAATCTTTTAGGCAAAAAATCTCTTTACTCCATACTAAATTGCTCCGGGGGCCACAATTTGCCGGTCAACAGCTGAGGGGCCGATTACCAAGCAATTAAAGTTGTGTAAATAAACCAAATATTGCAAAGATCTGTTACATTTGAATTAGTTTATTTTTGGTGCATTTAATCATGAATACAACATATAAAAGTAGTGATAATTACACATTACCAAAAATAAAAAGAACACATTATGCCTCCTATTATTAGACACAAATAATATTTTGACATCTCTGACTTGCCTAATTTTTAAACCAATTTTATTTTCACTTTCATCATTTTATCTTCAACTGCTTGTAGTTTTAACTGTCTTGAGTGTTTATAGAAATGGCTTTTGCTTCTAGACAAGATTCTGACGTTTCTGTAGATACCAAACATGTCTATGTCTAACTAAAAGAACTTAGAGTAATTAAATTAGAAAACCGGGGGTTTGGGCTTAAGAGATGAATAAACCAAACTTTGGGCACTCGCAGGATGGATGTGGCCCATGGGCCGCCAGTTGAATAGCCCCGACATAGAGGCAAGTACAGTTTATCTTTTTATTTGGAAAAAAAAAGATAAACTATAGTTGCCTTCTGAGGTCATTAGATCAGGCTGAACTGTGTGACCCAAAAAATGCAGTTTCAAAACAACAACAGAACCAGCTGAGGCCAAGAGCTAAACGAGGACTCTGAAAGACTGAAATGGTCAGAGGAAATAATCCAAAAAAAGAACCACTAAAATTGTAAAAATCTGTGTGGACGCTGTATAATGCGAGGAGATAAATTAACTCAGTATGATAAACAGAGAGACACAGGTTGTGTAAATGTAAATTTGATAAATACGGTTCACTTTATGGATCCGGGTTAATCTGAGGCACTCTTTAAAGTGATCTGATTCRGTTGAGTCACTCAAGCCAGTCATGCTGATAATTTGGCGACAATCTGCCGAAGGACATGTAGGTTCGAGGTTAATTTAGGATTTGGACTTGTGAATCCTAACTCAGTGTGAGAATTTGGCTCTTTAACCTGGGTGAGTTGGGAACAGACCAGCTGTATTCTGCACAGACAAAGTGAGAAARGGGGAAAGAAAACTAAAAAGAAACAAAACAAAACTGAGCCAACTCTTTACCACTAAAGGGTGGACCAGCTCATTTCTTGTAGGGCTGGTCTGGCTTCACTTGATTTGTTTTGGCCGGACTATTTTGAACCCTGTCGTGCGGCGGCTGTGTGGAGTGGACCTGGCAGAGTCTCGTGGTGGACCACAAAGTTCTGTTGTGGCTAGAGCCAGACCAGACCAGACCTGAGGTCCTTAGGTCCAGAGTGATGTTCTGCAGGATGGCTGAGACCATCTTTTAGAGAAATGAGAGAAACCCGGACCTCTAAAATATCTCAGAGACAGGAAGTGAACATCTTAACTGCCAAACAGACATTCTCCTGTCACACCCACACCACACAGAGATCAAACAAAATAAGAGTTTTTTTTAACAAATCTAAATGTTAAAAAACTCAAAAATATCAAATTTAATTTAAATATTAGTGATCAACAATTTTGTAAAGGAAGTTCAGAGATTTGTTCAAAATAAGAAAATTACTGGAACTAATCTACAACCACAAAACGTCTAGTTTTGTGGTTGTAAATTCATCATTTAGTATCTAAATATGGCAACCTTAAGTCACATGAACTTCCAAGAGACAAATTCAGCAGACTGTAACTTTCCATGTCAGACTGTATGATGCTTTAACTTTACAACTGATGTACAAAGACAAAAAGTGTGTCTTTAGAGAAAATGAACTTTTCTACTGCAGGAAATGAATGTTGGGTTTCAACTCCATTTCCTCTCCCAGCTCTTTCCCCCAGATGCCGAATAAGTTGTTAACCACCTTCATATATAAAACAGAGAGAGCACAATGTTCATGAGGTTCACCAGACTGCAGGGAGAGAACATTGCTACAACATGTGGGCGCTCCTCAAGCAGGTCACTAGGAGGGCTGTCTGTGGAGACAGTTTTTCCAGAAATGAGAAGCAGAAGCAGATTGTGCTGACTAATAGCCCTTTGGCCTGATTTACTTTTTATTCACGAGAGTTTGAAAAGAATGCAACAAAAAGAAGCAGTGCTTTCTGAATTAAAGAATTTAAGTTTTGTCTACATCTACTAAGATAAAACCAGGTGTTTTTGCTTAAAGTCAAGCTAAATATTGAGCATGCTGTGCATCTATAAAGCAAACTGCAGAGCAGAAGCTAACCATAAATTAACTGTTGGGTCATTTTTTTTCACCAGTGTCTGTTTCTTGTTACAGTTGCATTTACACATGCAGCACAAAGTAAGATACATTTGTATTTTTACCAAAGTCTGTGTCCTAATAAAATTATACTCGATATTGTTACAAATTCTAATAGTTAAGTAGACACTGATCTTTAACAATGTGCAATTAGTGAAGTGGTGTTGTACCTTTTAATTAAAAGGAAGGTGCCAGGAACAAGCATTATTTGACTCAAGAACATAACATCAGGGTTTGTGCTCCATTCAATCCCACAACCATCCCATTATCAACCCCTTAAGCCAAACTATTCATCCATAATAAATACGGGATTGAGTCCTCCAATATCATGTTCACTGATATTTTTGTCATGCTCTGAACAATTCCATCCTTATGGGAGAAGAGGAAATGGGGCTTCTCAAGACATTAGTTAAGGCTGTTCAGTATGGAAAATGACTTCATTAAGCATGGCCAATGAGTCCAGATTCAATGAACCGTCACTACAATTATAAATGTACTGCTTCACTACCTCAGGTTGAACTCTAGATGAATGACATTCCAGAACCGACAGAAAAGCAATGACATGTTCAGCATTTCAAAAGGAAAGGACCTCAAATGTCATGTAAGTACCTCTACCATCAACACCTCACACCTTTACACTTCAAAACGAGGTCAACATCATGAAAACAGAGCTGAGTCTAGAAGGGCAAGTGTAACCAAAAGATTTTGAAGCACAGCGGAAAACAGGACCCTTTCACCACCTGACAAGCAACTTGTGTTTTCAATTACAACATTTTTCAAAGACAGACAAGAGATGCTTGTGTGAAAGTCTCTGCACCAAAGTGAGTAAGAAGTAACATTTAGGCTGGTTCTAGTCTGTTCAAATCTGAGTATTTAAATTGCCCTCTTAATCCATTCATTCATCAAGTTTCAGTACCCACTTACTCCTACTGTGTCGTCTGGTGTCGCTCACCAGCAATCAATGGATGAAAAATGGGGTTGACGATAAGCAGTATAATGAATGGAGAGTACAGGTTTAAAAACACAGCAGAACATCATTTTAAAGTTTGCTGAATGATGAGATGATAGAACCGGAAGAGGACAAGAGG